GCAGGAGATAAAGATCGGGAGTTTAAATTGGCCATTTGGAAGATTGCATCTTTGCGACAGAGTCTTCCTTTCAAAATTCTCCCGGAACGCAGCGCCGAAGCTACTCGGCACCCGGATCTCAGAGGCCGGGGCCGCTAGTGCGTCCGGCCGCGGGCTGGGATCGGCCCGGTGACCGCGCGCCATCGGAGGCCCGAGGGCAGGGCCGCCGGGCGACAATCGCCTAATGACAAGTAATTGAGGCGTCGAGGCCGCGCATTACCAGCGGCACGGCGAGGCATTAATTATTTAAAAACGATTAGCCTTGCTGTGTGTCCTGCCAGCGTTCCATCTTGTGGGGGTGGGGGGCGGCTGGGGAGGCATCCAGCCTAACAGAGCCGAGCCGAGGGTCTAAAGGGCGGCGGGCGCGCGCCAGAGACCTGGCCCAGGTGGAGGAGACCGTCGGAGGCTCAGCTGGGGAGCCGGGGAAGGCGAGGAAGAGAGCCTGGGCAGTTATCTCCCCCGCCCCATACAGACGTGTCTCCGCAATACTGCCCCACTCGGGTTCAGGAGCTGGTGACAACGGTGCGGAATGGACCAAGTGCTCTCCAATTGGAGTGGCGGGGATGACTCCAAAGGTCATTCACCTGGCGCGGCCTGCCGTCTGTCCAAAGGCTCAGAGTGGCCGCGCAGGTCTAGGGACCCTCGCGGTGACTGGAGCCAAAAGCCACCCCTCCCCCCGGGCGGGGATGCAGAGAGGAACACCTTTTCTGCTCCCAGACCTCAGGGTCCTGGCTCCGTTCGCCTAGACCGCCGGATCCTCACGGGTGACTGAGACGCGGTTGGCTCCATTGGGTCCTCCAAGCTCGTGCCCACCAGTTCCCCCGTGGTAGCCCTCCCCAGCGTGCTGCTGTCCCAGTCCAGTCTCCCAGGGGGCGAAATTGGGTGAAGTCTGTGGCCTCGGAGCTGGTTCTGATTTGCTCTTTCTGGACCCAGCCTGTTACTCTAGCGGCTACCCACTACCCCGCACAGTCCAGTGGCAAGGAGCGCCAGTGTGTAAAGGCCCTTGGCCGCTTCCCTCCGCAGTAGCTCCCGCGCACTCCAGTCTGGGAAAGGCGCTGCCCCAACCCTGCCTGTTCCCACCAGCCGCCGACCCCCACCGCGGCGGCCACCTGGGCCTGGAGCGCACACCAGACCTGACCGAGACCGAATTCTAACTGCCGCGCACCGTGGGCAGCGCGTCTCTACACTCACCCACGCCACGCACTCTGTCGCCCCCCGCCCCCGCCCTAAGACTCCGAAGCTAAGGACGCCCTCTCCCCGCCCCGTCCCGTCCCACGCGTCACCCCTCCACTGTCCTTGGAAAGCAGGCGGCCTGCCTTCGGATCCAAGGTCCTCCCAACCCCCCGCCAAACTGTGCTCGGAGCCTGAACTGAATTTGTCACTATGATCCTGCATCCTCCCATCCCCGCTGCGTACTTTCCGCAAACAACCACAAGAAAAAATTTTAAAAGGCCACCTCCCCAACTCGGGGTGTCTCCCACAATAGAGTCTCACCCCACCTCATCCCATCCCACCGCACCCGTACCCCAGGCGTCGGATTTCCTGCAAGTCAGGAGGACTGACTGGGGGCTGGGAAGTTCGGTGGACCGCAGCGGGGGTCGCGCGCTGTGGAGGGGAGTCTGGCGAGGCCCCCAAGCCCGCGCGCTCCTACCTGCGGTGGCGTGCGGGAGACGGAGCGTCCAGCGCGCAGAGGGCGGCGGCCGACTGCTCCAAGCCGAGGCATCCCCGCATTTATTTGAGCTCTAACAGAGCGACTGTTGACTTTAGCACACAAAGCAAAGATTTCACTGCCCGCTAGTTTAAAAATGAATATTTTACCAAGATATCGATCAGCGTTATAAAATTCAGTTAAGTACAATGGGATCCTGGCAAAAAAAAAAAAAGAATAATAAAGGAGGTGGGGGGGGGCGAGGCCATATAATATCTGTGCAAATTTGCTGAAGTGTGACGTGGCATGGAAAGTTTACCCTCCTGGAATTCGGATCTAGAATGTTTTTCTCGCTTGTTTACTGACTTTGTTTATTCACAGATCACGGTTGCTTAAACCGGCGCTTGGAAAGCGAGGGGGGAACAGGAGGGAAAGGCGTGGGGAGGTGCGCGGGGATGGGGGTGGAGAAACGCTGCACCCCACAGTACGGAGAGCCGGGGACCGCGGGCACCCGAGCCTGGGCTGGGGGAGGGGAGGCGGCAGTGTGAACGCCAAGAACCCAGCGCGGCGCAGCTCCCCCAGTGCCCCTAGCCGACGCCCTTTCTCTGCGTCCCCGGACCCAGAGGGGTCTGCTCGGCAGGGATCTGTGCAGGAGGCCGCGCTCTAAGTCCTTTAAAACGACCCCGGCACAATAGACTCGCGATTCGAAACAGAGCAGGTTAGGGCCGCGCGTTCGGTCTCCATTGTCCCGCCCAGGGCCCCCGGTCCTGCCTCTGCGCTCCTTCGCCCTGGGAGCCTTTTATGTGATAATGAAACACATTTCAGGCCAAGCTCACGACGTGTGTGTCCTTGCCCCGAGAGCGAGGAGACGGAGAGGAGAGATAAACAGAAAGAGAGAGAGAGAGAGAGAGAATGAATGAATCTGATTGTTGGCCCCCTCCTCCGGATTCCGCACCCCTCCAACTCCCCCCTCCCCTTCCCAGATTCTACCCAATTTCTCTTCCCTGTGTTCTTGGGGACAATATAGCTAAAGGGGGATTTGGAATGGATTGGGGTGGTGTGAGGATGAGGGGCAAGGCACAAACTGCTGTCAAACTATTGGGATGGCTTGAATTTGGGCAAAATAGGGGCAGGTAGAGACCCCTGCAAAGTGGTAGGGCTGGTTGTCCCCCCCATAGGTGGTCCCCAGGGCCAGGGCACAGTGGGGCACTGCAGGTGCCCAATGCTGATGGAACTCTAAGGGGCTTAGGAAATGGAGGCCAGAAATGTCCTAAGTGGCTTTCACCCACTGTGACCTGGCAGCACCTAGGCTGGCTGCCCTGGGCAGACAGGGTCCAATGACTCACAGACCGGCAGAGCCAACTGGTGAGGCTAACTTTGGGGCTTTCCTATTGCAAGCGATTGGGGCCCTGCTTTTTGGGAGAGGCCATGCGGCTTGTAGAAGTTTGTTCTGGAGTTTCCTTGAAGGCTGTGCCTTGCATTCCTGCTTTGCCAAGCTCTCCTCCCGGTGGTACAGGCCACTTTGCAAAGGGGTTGCATTGGGGAGGCAGAAAGAGCCAACGCACAGGTCCTGGGGTCTTAACTGTAGGCAGGCTCCCTTGGCCAGTCTCCTCTCCACCAACACTTACCTCCACCTCACCCCCACACAAGCCCTGTTTCAAAAAAAGGAGCCAGGACTCCACCCTGAGCTACCTGTTGACAGCCAACCCCAGGAGGACAGTCTGGGCAGGAAGAGGTTTCTCCTCAGCTTCTGGGCAGTGAAGTCCCCCCCCCCCCCAAGGTTGTGCAAGAAACAAGTGGAAGAGGAAAGCTTGGGGCTGGAGACACAGGTGAGTGAGGTCAGATGCCCAAGCAGGGCACCCCGGAATTTGCCAACCTGGTCTCAGATTGCTGCTTGAAGGGAGGCCCAGGCTCAGCACCACAACAGCTACAAACACCGGGCCAGGGACAGCCAGCTGCAGCCCTGTCCTGGGCACCAGTGACATCATGCGGGCACCCTGCACGAGCCCAGGGAGGAAGTTTAGGCAGAGTGGTTTGCTCTAAAGGAACCCCACGAACCTGTAATCCTCACTGCTGGATCACCTGAACCCTCAGATTCAGAGAGCTGCCATACGCAGCACTGGAGTTTGGTTTGGAGCAGGGAGAGTGCAGGGCGCCGTGGTGCCTGATTCCTGTTTTAGAGAAATGGTAGACCCGCAGCCATGGAGCAAGGTGGACAAATGTCCACTGAGGCAAGGATCAGAAATGCAGTCCATAGGTCCGATCTTGGCAGTGGCTGTCCCCCCTCCCCCACAAAGTCCCCACCCCTGCCAGCTCACTGTAAAACTGCAGCCATGGTTTTTCAATAGGAAAAGGTTGCAAAAACAGCAACACACAGCTCTCCACCCCTGTGCCCTCCCCTCCAAACACACAACATCCACAGGGTTCCCATTCTTCTTAGGATTCATTTCCCCTCTTTCTTTTTCTCTTTCTTTTCTTTCTTCTTCCTTTCTTTTTCTTTCTTTCTTTCTTTCTTTCTTTCTTTCTTTCTTTCTTTCTTTCTTTCTTTCTTTCTTTTCTTTCTTTCTTTCCCTTCCTTCCTTTCTTGTCCCTCTCTCTTTTTGTCCAGTAAAAGAAAAATCCTAACCCAACCCCAAACTCTTGAAGAAAAGATGCAAGGGATAAAACCAGCAATAACATTTTAATATAGATTCGTGGAACTCCAGCCCTTTTGTGGCCAGAACACACATTTATAAGCCATAAATAAAGCACGCAGAAACCATAAATTAATCAGACCCGAGACCTGGATTTCACCGTGTCCACAACGGGATTTTTTTTTTCCTTTTTCTTGGTCATGTACAACAGACCTTTACATTTTTTTCTCCCCCTTTTTAAACAACAGGACAACCTTCTGGTTCTCTGTTTAAAACTACATGGTTCCACACCGAGTCACTCACAAAAGTTTTTGTTTTGTTTTTTTTTTTTTTCCTCCCGGGAAAGGTAAGACTTGCCTGCAATAACATCAATAAAGGATCAGAACCACAGGTGCTTTCAGCAGCACGAGTCTTCACGGCATTGGAACAGGAGGTTTTCCTGTGTGTGTGTGTGTGTGTGTGTGTGTGTGCGCGTGCGCGCGCGCGTGTGTGTCTGTCTGTCTTTTTTGATTTGTTATTTTTGTATTTCCTCCCCTTTCCAATGTAGGGCAGCTTTGGGAGGTGAGGGAGGGCTTGTCTTGGGAGGTGGCTGTGCACATCGCTCTAACCTCCTCCATTTTCCTAAAGTCTCCAGCCACTGCCTCGTTCGCTCTCTCTCCTCCAGTTCTTGTCCTTGCCCCAGCCGTGCCTGACTCAACCTTCTTCAAGAGGAGTTCATAATGGGCCTGGAGTACACCCCCTGGTAGTAGGAGGTATCGGCCGCCAGGGGCGAGGCGTCCAGGCCCGCTTTGTTCGTGACGGGCCCCATGGCCAAGCTGCCGGGCATGGGCGAGCCGTAGCCCGGGTAGTGCATCACCTGTTCGTAGGCCTTGAGGTCCATTTTGTGGGACTGGTGGTGGTGGTGGTGTGGATGGTGGTGGCTGGGGTGGCTGTGGTGGTGCTGCTGCTCCGACGACATGAGGTTGTTGATGGAGAAGGGGTGATTGAAGGCGTAGTGGTGCTCCGGCTTGAGGTGGGCCTCGGGAGGCAGGCCCGGGTGATGGGCCGCGCCCAACAGGTGGGCCGCGGCCTGCTGCTGCTGCTGCCCCGGTGAAGGCGCGGGTTCCGGGGGACTCAACGCCGCGGCCGGTGTCCCCTTCAACTCCCCGAGCGCGCCTCGCTTGTGTTCCTGGCACGGGGAAGCACTCGGGTGAGGCGACTCCGTGCCCGCCGGCGTTTCGGGGGCCGGCCCAGCGGCGTCCCCGAGCTGCGCCTGCGAGGCCGGCACGGCTTGCGCGCCGCTGGTCGCTTTCTTGCCGCCGCCTCCGGGCGCGCCGCCCCCGGCCTCCTTGAGCGCCAGCTGCTTCTCGCACTTGAAGCGCTTCTGGCGGCGCAGGTAGCAGCCGTTCTCGAACATATTGCCTGAGTCCGGGTGCAGGGTCCAGAAGGAGCCTTTGCCGGGCTTGTCGGGCGAGCGCGGCACCTTGAGGAAACAGTCGTTGAAAGAGAGCGAGTGGCGGATGGAGTTCTGCCAGCGCTGCTGATTCTGCCGGTAGAAGGGAAACAGGTCCATGATCCACTGGTAGATCTCGCTCAGGGTCAGCATTTTGTTGGGGCTCTGCTGGATGGCCATGGTGATGAGCGAGATGTATGAGTAGGGCGGCTTGGCGTGCGTGTAGCTGCGCCGGTACGTCTTGGGGTCGCGCGCGCGGCTCAGGCCGGCCTGCCCGTACATGGGGCTCATAGAGTTCATGTTGGCATAGGGGCCCAGGCTGCCCATGGCACTCGCCGCCTGCCCCCCGAGCGGGCTCAGGCTAGGGCTCAGGTGCGGCCCCATGCCCGCCGCCACGCCCGCCGCCCCGGCAGAGCCGCCCATGCCCGCCATAGCGCCCGCCGCGCCGGGGGACATGCCCGCCGCCAGAGAAGGGCTCATGCCCGCGCCCACGTACGACGACATGTTCATGGAGCCGGCACCCATGTTGCCTGAGCCGCTGCCCATGGCGGCCGCGGACATGCTCATGTAGGTGTTCATGCCGTTCATTCCCAGGCCAGCGTTCATGTTGCTCACCGAGGAGTAGCCCTGAAGACAGAGCCCGGGGTAAGATGGGGCGGGGGGGGGGGAAGGAGGCGACAACGTTAGCACCGTGGCTGCAGTGCGCCCAGACCCCCACCCACCTCCCACTCCCCCCACCATCACCACCCCTCCGGGGAGGCCTGGGACCATCCCTTGCGGTAGCTCCAGGTCTCCTGGTGCTGGCGTCGAGTCCGTTTCACCCCAGGGCGAGCCCCAACCCATCGCTTTCGGGGAGGTGGAGCGCCCACTGTTGCCCTGGGCACATAGCCGAGCGCGCCCTAGCCTGTTCTGCCCCTGGAGCACAGGGCTCCCCCACCTCACGCCAGGAACACTCAGAATACGTCTTCCCCCGCTACCCTACTCGCACCTCTCCGCAAACTCTCCTGCCAGCCGGAATACCGAGCCGGCGCTCTGGCCCAGACGTCTCCGGGCGCCACCTCTTGCCCCAGGGAACCCACCTCTGGGACAGTAGACGAGGCACCTGGGGAGGCCTCCGCCGGCTGCGGCCGGGACTGACCCGGAGGCGTCGTGCACGCCTCCCCAGACCCCTTTCCCATCCCATGGGGAACTGGAAGACGGCGCCCGCGTCCGAGTCCCAGCAGAGAGCTGCGCGTCGCACAGAGGGACTGGGAAGGACCCGCGCAGTGGGGACGCGGCAACTCCTGTGCGGCCCGGCTGGACGGTGGCAAACTTTCTTCGCCTTTGTCCGCGGCCTCTGCCTCTGCCTCCACCTCAGCCCCCAGCTCCTCACCCACCACCTTCCCCTCTCCTCGGTTCCCCCACCCCCTCACCGGCCGACCTCCCACCCCTCCCTAGCCGCGCGCTGCCAAACAGAACTCTGTTAGGATAGTGCGTGGCTCCGCCACGAAGAGGATTTGGAGGCGCCGCAAGTCAATATTTGATCACAAAGTTAATATTATCTCAAGGCTAACAGTGTGTCGTATAAAAAAGAGACCCATTTGAGTAGAAGGAGGCAGGCAAAGACGGCTGCCCAGAAAGTCTGGGGTAGGGGGCGGGCGCCCGCCAGGGCAGCGGTCCCGAGGCCGGCGCCAAGCGGACGCCGCCCGCCACTCGGCTTCCCTCCCCTGGCTGCGGCGGGCGCTTACCTCGGGCTCGGCGTAGTAGCTGCTCCAGTCGGACGCCTCGTGCCCTTCCATCTTCACGGCTCCCAGCATACTGGAAGCCGAGTGCATGGCAGTTTAAAATTTAACAGCCACAACAAACGACCAGCGATCGCCCCCACCCCCACCCTCTTAAAAAAAAAAAATCTCGGCCGAGGCCCGGTCCCCTCCCTCCTCCTCCTCCTCCCTCGCTCGCGTTCACTCGCCCTGGGCTCCACTCCCTCTCGCGCGCCGGCCGGCCGGAGAGGCGGTAGCTGGAAGTGGGCGGGCGAGAGGGGTGGTGGGTGGCGCGGGAGGAGGGGGCGGAGGAGCGCGGGAGGCCCGGGACCCGGGGCCGCCCGGCTGTCGGCTGCGCCCTCGGCCCGCTCTCGGGCTGCCGGCTGGGAGGCTGCTGCTGGCAGTGGAGAGCTGCCGGGAGGCGGCGGCGGGAAGCGTGCGCGGCGCGGGGACAGGTGGGGGGGAGGGGGGAGGAGGAGGAAGAGGAGGAGGAGAAGGAGGTGTGGACCGCGAAGCGGACAAGTGCCGCAGTGACGTGAGCGCCTGGTGATATAGCGCGGCGCGCTGGCGCGGGCCTCCAATCCCCAAACCCGGGGCAGCCCATTTGAATAATCAGCTCACACCTAGGTGAGACCTTGCCCCGGCCCGAGCGCCCCCCGCACCTGCCCTGCGCTGCCCGCACTCGGAGTGGGCTCGGGGTGGGGGGTGGGTGGGATGGCGGAGCGGACGGCGCGGACGAGCAGGCCGAGCCCCCTGTCCACTTCCCTGCAGGCTCCGGAGCGCGGTCCTCCTCCCTCCCCCACCTCGGGGAGAAGAAGCTGGGAAACTGCCCAACTTCGGGAGCGACTCCAGCCTTGGACCAAGCGCCCCCTCCCGCCCCGGCCCGGAGCACCGGGCGCGCCTTGCGTGGGGCCGGAGCACGCGTCCGGCCTTCGTGCCCCGCAGGACCTGCTTCCAAACCGAATTTATTTATTTATTTTTCCTCCCGGGGACAAGCAATGTGCAAGGCGGCGTCGTGCACAGAGACAGGAAAAAAAAAAAGCTGTGTACACACCTTTCCGCTGCCGCTCTCCTGGGAGGCCCTTCCCGTCACAGCCGGGGAGAGCGCGCCTAGGCTCCCCGCAGCCCCGGTTCTCCCGGGCTCAGCCTCCTCGCGACCCTCCGCCGCGGGGACGGCCGGGCACTCGCAGCCCCGGCGGGCCGCAGCCGCCGGTGGGTGGGAGGCTGCGGTTTGCCTGTGACATCCAGCCCCGCGCGTTTCAAGGTTACTTTTCCGTCACCACCGAGATGCCCACAGTGTTTCGTAACTAAAACAAACAGGGCGCTGAGGGGGAGGAGAGAGAGGCGCCCTGGGATCGATAAGGGGGCGTTAAGAGTGGCTTCCGGAGGGTCTCTGTCCTCCAACTGCCCCTGCTCACACTTCCCTTTGAGCTCCTGCCCAGCACCTGGACTCCACTGGGTCCTGTCTGAGTTAGCACCCCCAGCTCCCCCCACCTCCCGCCCCGGCCAATCCTCCCTCAGTGAGCCCGCATTTGGAGATGCAAGGGGCCCACAGGTGTTGAAAGTGGACACCCCCTCTGGGTTCTGCAAACTTGGCGGGGCCAAGCGGCTCCAGTGTTCCTCTTCCAGATAGAGAAAAAGCAAGCAGTGGGCGTTTGGCCCACCTATGCTGTGTGCAGGAGTGGCTGCGGCAGAGGAGGCAAGCCCGCAGCCAGGCGAGCCCAGCGCGGGGGAGGGGGCGGTCAGCTGCCTGACCCAGGCCGCATCGGGTCCTCCTTGTGGTGGGCTGCCCGACCCAGGCCGCATCGCGTCCTCCTCGTGGTGGGCTGCGGCTGAGACGCGGGTACTTTGGGCAATTTCCTAGCACCTTTGTCCGAGTGCCAGGAGTATGTTTTGGGAGGGTTAGGAAGGGTCTTCCACGACCAAGACCTGCATCCCCGCCCCCCAGACCCTGGGATATCCATCGCATTTGCTCCGGTCGCCGGGTTTGTCTAGTGCTCCCCGCAGGGCACGCGCAGGTGTGGAAGCCACGCGTGCACAGATGCCCAGAAGGGAGGGCCACGTCCCCTAGCACCTCCCGATGGTTCGGGAAAGAGGGAGTGTGAGTCGCACAGGAGCTCATCAAATATTTTGCTCAGGATAGACCACACATGCAAGGTCTCGTCCCGCACCGACTCCGCAACTTCCTCTTCAGGACAGACGCCCAAAGAAAGGGAATCGCGCATCAACCAACAGGCAGCGTCCTGCGGCCGGCGGGGATCGAACGCTCAGACCCTGCGGGACCCGGTTCCCGAGTTCATACCCGCGCGCGCCTGGGTCATCCTGACGCTCCTGGCCCTGGAAATTAACCTTCCAGCTGAAGGGGCGCGCAGGAGCCGGGAGCCCGCGGCTCCCGGGAGAGCAGGCACTGCTCTACCGGCCTGTCCAGCCGCGACCTCGCGCCGGGTCCTCGCCGCACCGAGCGCGCCCGACGCCGGCTTCCGCGGGGACGGGGCGCCCCCTGTCGTCCGCCGACCTCTGGGCGTCGCTCCCCGGGAAAACGGCTTCGACGGTTGGGGCGTTTCTTGGCGGCACCCGGTCGGTAGCGCGGCAGGTTCTGCGCAAACTCAAAGCGGCCTCCTGTTTCGCTGCGGGGGCGCCGAGGGTACCAGGTCTGGCTGGCCCGGTGCGGGACATGCTCGGGGCGAGCGCACTTGGGACCTGTGTCCCTCACCAGTAAAAAAAACCAGGTGCGTGGCGCGCTGGGGGATCCGTCCCTCAGGGCTGGCAGGGACGCAAGTGCACACCTCTGGCTGCAAAACACATTGGCCCTAACACTTACCGGGGGCAGGGTCCCTGGTCCCCCACCCAGCTCTGGTTGGGTCTACCCTGGCAGCTGGTTTTACCCGGTCGTCCTCCAGTGGCTTTTGACTTGGGGTTCAAATCCAGGCATCCAATCCTGGGTACCCCACAGTCCCTTCCACATTTGGCGCTGACACTGGACACTAAGGGAGGGGTATCAGCCCCAGGCCTTCCCAGCCCATTCAGGGACAGCCTCTACCCTGGACGCCCTCACCTTCCAGCTCCTGAATCCTTCCGGAGAATAGCCTAGGGTTCCCCGGCGTTGTCTGCAAGGGCCGCGGGCGACCTTCAGACACACAGGAAGGATGAGTTAGGCAAATTCGACCCCTTCAATCTTCAAGTCAGGTTTTCTAGGTGGAAATGAGAAACCCGAAGCTTCGTTCCTCTAAGAGTGAAACCCCGGGCCCAATGGAGAAAAAGGCATAGTGTGACAAAGGTTCTCTGGTTTGGTGTGTGTGTGTGTGTGTGTGTGTGTGTGTGTGGCGGGGATGAAGGGCAGATGTGTTCTTACGTTTGAAATTTATTTGCAGTATCAGACCATGAAAAATCGTCTCCTGGGCACCAAACACACCTTGAGACACGCAGTGCTGTCTTGGATGGTCCCTCAGTGGGTGAGACACCAGCTGTTTGTGGAGCAGGTGGTTGAGGAATCGCCAACTGAGGAACCCCATCGGAAGATGCTTAGGTGAAAGAAGGGAAAAAAGACTCACTGGGGTGCACTATTATACAAAAGCATCGGATGGTTTCAGATTGAGTGGGCAAAATTTGTTTATCTGAAAGGTAGAATTACAGAGAGGCAGAGAGAGAAAGAGAGTTGCAGCCAGCTGGTTCACTCCTCAAATGGCTGTAAAGGAACCAGGAGCTTCTTCTGGGTCTCTCACTTGCATGCATGGGCCCAAGTACTTAGGCCATCCGCTGCTGTTTTCCCAGGTGCATCAACAGGAAGTTGGATACTAAGTGGAGCATCTGGGACTGGAACCGGTACCCATTTAGGATGGTGGTGCTGCAGGCGCCTGCCATGCCTTAGTGCTCACCCCAAACACAGCATGCTAACAACCCGCCTTTCCTGTATAGAATCTACAATTCCTTAAAAAACGATAAAATAGGTAGACATCGTGTTCATGTATTTAGGAGGTAGAATTCTGTCTTCAACCTCTTCTATCTGCTTGCATCTTTTTCACTTTCTAATAGTTTTATTATGACCTAGACCTCAATATTTTATGGTGAAATATACGGTAGGAATAGGAGAGCTGATGACAAATAACCATCACAATCATTCATTCAGTTCTCCTCTTTGAAAGGAGGTCAGAGGAGGCACCATCCAAAAGGATGAGTTTGAATTCTGAAAAACAAAAACCCATGTGACTTGTCTTCTTGCCTGTGAACATGCTGTCTCTTTTCTGAGCAGGGGGAGCAGCTACAGGTGGCAGTTTTCCACCATGACCCCCATGGTGTAAGGGGAAGAGGAAGAATTCTCTGGTCAGTGTTATCAAGAAACTGGTACTTGAACCTCTTTATTCATGTACCAGGAATTTGTTGCTTGCCAAGTTAGATTCTAGCCATATATTGGGTTTTTTTTTTTCTCCTTTAACAATCCACTTATTTTTGTTTGAAAGACAATTCCTCAAAGAGAGAATCCTCTATTCACTGGTTCACTCCCAGTGGATGGCAAAGGCTGGAGCTAAACTAGTCTGAAGCCAGAAGCTTTTTCTGAGTCTCCCACGTGGGTGCCGGGACCCAAGGACTTGGATCAATCCCTGTGGTTTTCCCAGGTGATAAACAGGGAGTTGGATCAGAAGTGGAACAGCTAGAAATCCAACTGATGCCTATATGGGATGCTGGCACTACAGGTGGAAGCTTAGCCTCCCACGCCATGAGGCTGACTCTGTATTCTTTATTCTCTCTCCCAATGGCTAGAAGGCCTCCGGAGAAAGCCAAGGTTCTTTGCTCACTGGGGCCAGAAGTTGACAAATATTTCTGGGTTATGCTTGACATTTGTCTACCTTTCTCTCATTTTTAGCACATTTCTGGTATGTAGGACTATTATAGCAGGTAATTAAAATAATTGGAAGAGATAAAAATAAAGAAATGACAACTTTTAGTAGCAATAATAACATGCCAACGTGAGCGAGAATAAACTCCCCTTTGACAGATGCCTAAATTAGATGCATCTGCATTTGAGGCCCTTGGAAGCTATTTCATACATGCAGATGTTATTCTTGGGAGAAATTGTAAGTTATTCCTGCCTAAAGGCAAGC